TGATTAGTTAACTATGGACCAGTCAATAACTTAGAAGATATTAGACTTTTTTAATTATTTTTTTTCTATAATTTTATAGTTATTAGTTGGAACAAATTTAATTTATAACCCCATCCCTTATTAGTTAAAACCGTATGAACTCAAGAATTTTAAATGGTAACGTATATATTTTATTAACTTTTTAAATTAAGACAAATTTGCTAAACATTTTGACTGGTCGATAACCAGTTTTGGGTAATTAGTTTCAAAGTTATTAAAGTTTAAAATTTAGGACGGGTGGAAGGGTGGAGAGTAGAGATGTTTTTATCTGCGCCCATTGTTCAACCGACCTTCCCCCCCCCCGTCATAACTTTTAAATGGTAAACGTTACCATTTAAAATTGTCCCAACTAATAACTATAGAATTTTTAAAAAAATAATAATAAAAAAAAATCTTATATCTTCTAAGTTATTGACTGGTCCATAGTTAATTAATGGGTGACTTCTTTATTAAATGTATCACATGTTTTGTATTATATCAACACATATACTTATTGTGCTTTTAATTGTATAGATTGTATATTTTTTCAATAAAAAAAAAAATAATACAATTTTGGAATAAAGTTATTCCCTGGGCGAAGCCGGGTACCCCAGCTAGTTATAATATAAGTAAATCTATGTGGTTTGGTTGGATCCCAACGTAGTTAAATTTGAACCTATAGTTTATGATTCAAAAACTGAAATAATATTATTAGGTTTAGTTTTTTGGAATTTTTGTGGGTAGAGAAGAAATGTGATTTCGCACAATAACGTATTATATATTATGCTTGTAAACAAGTTGTTTATTGCTGGAACGGCTTACTCGAGTAGCATCTCGTTGCTAATCAGGAATCATTATAATATTGTAAAATGTGTATTTGTCGGTAAAATGTACTTTTTCGAAAAATGTTTCATATTCGAGCAAACACGTGTAGGTATATTTTTTTATTGAATTGTTTGTCTTCATGACGAATTGACAACAGCACAACAACAAAATGTGTTTTTGGTTTTTTTTTTTGCCCGTAAAAAAATATTAAACGCCGAATAACATCTAAGAAAACAATTATACTCTACACACGCGCCCCAGCATGTGATATTTAAGTTTCATACAAACTTATACTCATAGGCTCTTTAAACCAAATAACTGAACATATTTCAACCGTATTGCTAACATACTAAATTTGTCTAAAAAACGTATGCATACACGACGTAACACCTATGCACTTACAACAACAATATGTGCTTAAATCTGTATTTTGAGTATTATGATGGATGCGATTAGGGTTGGTCGTATGTCTGTAATAAATTGTAGACGTTTTTTTCCCATACATATATCGTAGTAATTGTTAATTATGAGCAATTAGTCAAAATTGATACCTGTTGAATTTTTAGGTTTTCCTTAATAAAATAAGGTTTGACTATAGACTTTGAAAAAGTCATACTCATGTGTATAGCTCTACTCTGGAGATATCTATAACTCCAGTCTAATTGTCAGACCTTAAGCCCTGAAAATTAACTTAAAACAGTGAAATAAAGTAAAAGTCTCCTTCTCTTTTGGAGAAACGGATAAAAATATTTGTTTGGTTTGTCAACGTTTTAAATGTTCAGGCCCAATAAAGTACCTTTCATGTAAGGGTTTCTGATCTACAGACTTGCGTCTAATCGAAGAAAACTATTCAGTGGTTTGGAATATAATATCTCGAAGATCCAGACATGGTTAAAACAAAAATTAATAAAAACACACTACCCGGATAACTGTTAGAAAATCTGTAAGAACAATTAGGCGAAAAGTGTAAGAACTATATGAAACCAATTTGTAACCTGTTAAAAATCACAGTTCTAATAAGTAATATTTTTAATCAGAGACATATTTGATTGAAAACTAAAAAAGTTAATATAAAAATATAAATTCAAATTTTGTCTTTACCAACCACGGACAGATTTACGAGTCTATGTATTACTTTTGTTATTTCATTCTTTTACTAAGTATGGATTTCATCAAACACGTTTTGACTAATATAACTTGATTCTGCATTCTTGTTTAAAATAAATTTCATAAATGCTACTGCGTGTACTTATTGTTTAAAGTCAGGAAAAAACTTATAAGATTTTAAATTAAAAAAATATTTTTAAATACAATATGACAATCAGATTGTTATCGCAAATTCTCCATTTGTTAATTTACGATCCTCCAAATCTGATACCAAAGATAATGTCAAAACAATTTCTATGAGAAACTGACACAACAATTTTCACTCATACTTGGAATGTCCAAAACGTTTCATATTATTTATGATAACACTATGAAAAAATGTGTTTGCAAAATTTATTAGAACTCTGACTCTGTTAATCAGACTTAGGATATAAATTTCAATTTAAACAACAACGTGACACATGTTAAATATGTATTTAATTCATTATTTTAAAACTATAAATCACTGTCTCTCCCGTTCTTTACAAACTTTAAAAAGTAATCAATAGGTACTTTTTTCAATTATAACTACAGTGACAGTGCTGATAGCGTTACAATTGTCGGATGTTGACAAAAAAAATCTGATGCTCTAAAGAAGCTTCAATACAAATTTGGCTCTACTTTAACAGTTAAAATTGCCTTACAGGCAATCCATCTCTGGTATTTTATTCATGAAATTATCACATCGTCCTATTAATTGTAGCCATTGTTAGCATTTTTTTTTTACTGTGACGTGAAAGTAAAAAAATACAATTTGAACGTTTATATCTCTGGGAGATTTACATATTTATCAAATACATTTATATTTAACGATTTTTATTAAGTATACAAAATTATTTTGAATTAAACATATTTAAAAATTCGAGCATATTTCGTAAAAGTATAGCCCATTTTCAAATAATTGTACATGTGTATCCAGTTCTATTCCAATGTTTTCAGACATTTCATGTGGACCCATCGTGACGGTTCCAAATTTCCTAAAATTGTAATTTGAAAATTTTATAAACAGGGTGATCCATCTGATGTAAGACACTCATTTTCTCGGAAAATATGAATATTTTGACAGTTATTTTTTTCCTATACTTTTAGGGCCATATTTTGCCACATTTTTCAATACTTAGACAATGTTTCCCTTCGTCACTTATACGTAAAAAAAGAAATATGGACTTCCGTTTTTATCAAATGGGAACATAATATGTACTTAACTCAATAAATATACAAACAAGAAAATAAAAAATTGTTAAAATTTGAGTTTTTGAAATTTATGAATCTATTTGCTTACAATGACATCATACAGATTTGTGTTTAAGATCAATATTCTTTCGATTTTTACAACAGTAGCATTTAATAAATATTAAAATATTTTTTAATGTTTTATATATTTTGTTTTTGTATCCAGAACAATTGTAACGAGTAGAACGGGTTTTTTTTTATTTCAACGTGTACAGAATTCTTTAACCAGAGGCCCAAATTTGGGTTTCCAATTGATAATGTGTTGGATATAATTTTATACATTGAACATTCGTTGTATGTAATGCGCTAGTATATTATTTACCTTCAGTTCGTATCGATATGAAATAACATAGGTATAAGTAATAATAACTAAATAACACAAAAATTCACAATAACAGTCTATGTAACCAGATTGTTTGTACTATTCAATACATAAGACATAAAAGACCTTGAATTAATTTAAACCTTTAATTTATTTAAACCAAACCTTGAAAAAAAAAAAATTACTTTGTTATTCGATATTAAATTCTCATTAGTGAAAATCAGTGGACATCAGCGAGGTGTACAAATAAGCCCCACATTGTCCGTTTTTGATTATCTCAGAAATTGAATAATTAACCTAAGTCCAAAAATAATAAATTTATAAAAAATAGTACCGGAACACCCTGTATAATGTCACGTGAGCGATAATGTAAATTGTGCTATATTATGCTACTATATTGTGCTTATATTTAAATAACAACTAACTAATTAATTAGGTATTATCGATTCTGTGTTTTTACTTTTTACAAAGTAATCGAGTAATATAGATAAGTAATATTTGATAATTTTATACACACTACTCTGTAAGTAAATTCCAAATTTGATACATTATTTCTGAACATTTTTTAACCAATAATAGGTTATTTAATTATTTCATTATTTCAATAATAGTAAGTACTAAAGTGCTTACTACTAATACAGTTTTTTTTATTCTTTAAATTGTTTTAATATGCTTGGTATTTTGACAATAATACTAAATTACAAGTTTATAATATAGATATTGTCCATCAGCTCTTCTAAAGCTTCTGACTTGACTTGTACAGTTTCTATGTCTTCTATTAATTAGGGTATATTCGATTTGACTTTTAAACCTCCCATCTGGAAAATTCTAAGTATGTTTGTGTATTTATTTCCGTTGGAATTAGATGCTGCTAATTATCAAGTCTTTCGATGCAGCGAAGCTAATTAGTCTTATTCCATTATTGTTACTCTCCGAGTGTAAGCTTTCCTTCCTCACCGTGCGTTGAAAGACCATGATTTCTGAGAAGGTTGATGAAAGTTCTCTTTAGTGAGTCATAAAAGTCATCATTTGTGTTATAGTCAAAGCTATAACTTATTAGCGTATTAGCTCGCCTATGTACAATCGGATCATAGCACAAAATGCATTTAAATAATTGTTCAGCTACAAAATATAAAAAATGGCTTATACAATTTCGCATTATGTGGATGTTTTGATTCATATCTCATTGTTAAATTGAAAAAAAATTCGGGGGCCCCTTGATGTGCGATGTCATAGTATTTTTTAAACACTTCAACGCCACTGCTAGGGCGCGCCATTAACAATTTTCTTTTTATATGTATGTCATGCTAACCAATGCCCGAGTTGAGTCCGGATTTGACCAGAAGTTTTTAACACATATCAGAATTAAAAAATATGTTTAAATCGATTAAATAATATTATAGTTATTTATTTCACTTTCAGAAAAAATTATTTAATATACATGAATCATGTTTAGGTAATATTTTTAAAGAAAACAAATGTGTCCAACTACGCAGAATGTTTATTTCACTAATATCGCATCAAATCTTGCTTTTCCATTGCTGTAATATTTCTTAATAGTTCATCGTTACTAACCTTCCTATAAATCAATAAATAATTTCTTATTAAAAACAATAAGAACATGCTACTTGTTGTAAAAGTTGACAAATCATAAAAAATTGTATTGTATTAAAAAAAAGATGTGCATAATATTTTTAGTTTTAAACGTTTTTAGTTTTCAGGACCACTGGACCAAAACTAAGCCTTTAAAATTAATTTCACACATAAGTTTTTGGGGAAAATTGGCAGTTCTGTATTAAATATATGGCAAAACAATTCCAGAAAAAAATAAAACTCATAATAACGTATAGCATGCTGTATTTTTAAAATTATATATTGTTATCAAGTCCATTTAGTGATATTTAATTAGCCATCTATGGTATACAGTATTTATGTAACACAAGTATTCCAAAACCTGTTTAATTGTTCATTAAACCAAATAAAAATTATATATTTTTTTAATATTAGTACTTACAAGTGTATTTCTTTAGCGTAAGCTGTAAACAAAAGCGTATCAGTATATTATACTTTATACCATTATTATACAATATCTAATTTATTCCGGTTTAAATTACTATACTAAAGGACTTACCTAGTATCGATTCCTCCAATAATTTATCTTTAATAAGTTGCTTAACTTTTTCCAAGTAATCATTTTCACTATAAATCATTAATTTATTTATTATTATTACTAAATGGCAAAATGATACAAAAACAATCGTTAATGGCATTTTGTATTTTTAAAAGTACATATTGTTATCAAGTATCTTTAGTGATATTTAATTGGCCATCTTTGTTGTACAATATTTATGTAATATTAGTATTCCAAAACTCTATTATTATTTATAAAACTAAAATTGCATAATTCATATTATATTACTTACCCTACACTCAGATATTCAACGATATCTGTTAAGAAAAATGTATCAGTATATTTTTAGCATTATTATAGAATAGGTATGTAATTCCGTATTGAAAATATACAAAAAAAGAATAAAGATATATATTCGATATATAATAGATTTTTAGATGAAGAAAAATGTAAATTACCTCCCACTAACGGCATTTGAGTTTCTGTAATGGTACATAAAGTATATTATTATTTTGTCTAAGTAGTGTATATTATCATAGAGCTTACCTTCAGTAATAATAATATATTTTTTTAAGTTTGCTGAAAAAAAACACAAGTTTGAGAAATGTTTTAATTAATATAATAGTAAATAGTTGTACAATATTATATTGTAATAAATTATGGTTAAATATAATATATAGTTAATGTAAGTAAATCAAACCAACAGACTGGGGTAAGAGTAATTTTCTTATAATATTTAGCTTTGATAAGTAACTGAGAAAGTATTAATTTTACAATGATGTATTTTTTTTGTGTGTAGACTAATGATATCTTCTAAACCGCAAGACTTATTTTTTCATTTAGTAACCCTATAGATCATAATCTACAAGGTCTTGTCAACAGCAATTTTACATAGACTCGAAAAGTATTCAACAGAAATAATAGATGAATACCAATGTGGTATCATGAAAGGCAAGTCCACTACTGACCATATATTCACCCTTAGACAAACTATGGAAAAGTTTTATGAATATGACAAAGATCTACAAATGATATTCATCGATTTCCAGCAAGCTTATGACAGTATTATTAGAGACCGGCTATGGTCAGCGCTTATACTTTTCGGAATACCAAAGAAATAAGTTAATTTAATAAAGTGTTTAATTCAAGCACAAAGTGCGTTTTCTTGGAGAAATATCAAAGGTCTTTGAGGTCAGACGTGGACTGAAACAAGGGGACGCGTTATCTCCCGCTCTCTTCAACTTAGCTCTTGAAAAAGTCATAAGAGACATGCAGGAGAACCGAGAAATGCACGTACTGGGGCGCACAACTCTCTTAGTATATGCGGATGATATTGTAATATTTGGAGAATCAAAAATGGAATTAAAATGGACTGTAAGAAAGCTCATAGTAAAAAGATGGGCCTTAAAATAAACGAAAATAACACTAAGTATATACTAATTAGTAGGCGCTTAACTCCTTTACAAAATTTGAGCATTGATCGTTTCTTTTTTGAACAAGTCGAGAATCTTAAATACTTAGGTGCTAATATAAATCATAAAAATAATATGCATAACGAGATTAAGTCCAGATTAAGTGCAGCAAACCGTGGGTACTATGCAATGAGTAAAATGTTTACATCGAAACTCCTTTCAAGAGACACAAAGAAAAAACTATACATTTCCTACTTACGTGTTATGTACGGGTGTGAAACGTGGTCCACGACGCAGGGTGACGAGAATAATCTATTGACCTTCGAAAGGAAAATACTTAGGAAAATATATTGACCTATATTAAATCCCAATATTGGTGTACAAGAGCGGAGAAAATGCACCCAATTTACAAGATTTTTTGAGGTCGAAAAGGGTAGAGTAGACTGGTCATGTATGGCGTGCGGATGGTGGATTGATTAGACAAGTACTCAATAACAAGCCAAATAAAAAACTACCCTTGGGAAGACCAAGACAACGGTGGATGGACCGAGTTAAGGATGACTTAAAGAGATTAAGAAATGGAGCGAATATTGAGTATGCAGAGGATCGAGAAGGTTAGATGACTCTGGTAGAAGCTGCGAAGCACTTGAATGGCGGGTAAAGCAAAAAAAAATAAAATAAACCATAATCCCTTTCCCTTGAAGGGTTGAAAACCATTTCATTATTTCTCTTTTTCCAGCCCCAACTTTTAGAACTTAATGTCTGAAAATTAGACAGAAGGTAGATCCAGAGTGGGACTATACCTTACATAAATTTCTTACAAATCTTTTGTCAAACTTTGGTTTCTCAAAGGAACCCCCCCCCCTGAGTTGGGGACTCAGTCACGGTTGCTATGTGTGAATGCTTCAACAGTCGACAGGTATTTTAAAATAGTTTTACTATATTGGTAATTATTATTGACCTACGATGTTCACATATGGATAACAAAGGCGTTAATTTATTATAGACAGACGATCAAGCCTAATAGACGATTAATGTACAATTTATGCGCACTATTAATATTATATTGATTTCTGTATTCCTATCCACAGAAATTTGTAAAAGCTAATTTTGTGTTGTATCGGTCCGTTGGTATTTGAATTTAATTAATTATACTTACGATCGCTTTTTATGGTATTTACATCAACTGCGTTGCTTGTTCCTAGAGTTGTCGGCACAATTGTAAATATATCAATAAGAATAAAGAATATATTGGTATGTAATAGATTTTATAATAAAGAAAAATATAAATTACCTCCTTCCAACGGCATCTGATTTACTGTAATGTTACAAAAAGTATATTATTATTTTGTCTAAGTAGTATATCATAGAGCATACTTTCAGTAACCATGCCAGATTGTATTGATTTTGCTGAAATTAAAAAAAAACAAGTTTTAGAATTTTCTTATTTAATATAATAGTAACTAAGTGTACAATATTTTATTCTAATACATTAAGGTTAAATAAAAAATATAGTTAATATACATAAATAATACTAACAGACTGGGGTAAGACTAATGATATCTTCTAAACAGCTGAACCGATTTTTTTCATATAGCAACCCTTTAAATCGTTATCCCTTTTCCCATCGAAGGGTTGAAAACGGTTTCATTATTTCTTTTTTTTCTAGCTTTAATTTTTAGAACTTAATTAATGTCTGAAAATTAGACTGAAGGTAGATCTAGAGTGGGACTATACCTTACATAAAATTCTTACAAATCTTTTGTCAAACTTTGGTTTTATTAAGGCCCCCCCCCACCCTATAGTCTAGGCTGATATGCGTAAATGATTCAACAGTCAACTGGTATTTTAAATTTATTTTATTTTATTGTGAATTATTATTACCTACAATATACACATATGGATAAAAAGGCATCACATATTTATGGACAGACGATCAAACCTAATATACGAAAAACAAACAATTTATGTGCACTATTGATATTATATTATATTTTGTATTTCTTTCCACAGACACGCTTGAAAGGGTTTACTCGAAATTGGTTTGTGCCATATTTATAAATATAAAAACCAATTTGATGTTGTATCGGTCCGCCGGTATTTGAATTGAATTAATAATACTTACGATCGCCTTGCTTTAAACCAATTACGTCTCCACTTGCTACAGTATGACAATTTGGCATAAATTTCACAAACGGACATTCCACTAAAAAGTTAAATGATATATTATTGTATTAAAACCAGTCCCTACATTAATATGCTTTTTATGTCCCTTAGAGCGCGGTGTATTCAATCGAGTGCCAGGTGTCTATAAGCTATACCGTATACCGGATATAATAATGGTATTCAACGTGTTGAAATTTCCTGAACATTTTTATTTATGCTTAATTCTTTTTTTTGTAATAAAAATTACAAAAAAAACATGCAAGTTACTTTTATGATTAAGTAAAAATTTGTTGAATGATGAATCAACAATAAAAAACGAGAATTTTAAAAAAACTGGTTTGTTTTGCGTTTAGTTTTGTTTTAAATTGAAGCTTTTATATATTTCACAATTGCAATAATAATGATGCTGAAATAAAAAATATTGTTGAAAAAATGTTGATGATTACAAATGATTGACACCAAATAAAATTTTTTATTGAATAGAACATTTTTACAAACGAAACATATTTTCAATTCTAAATAATTGAAGAAATCTTTTTTGGTAATTGTAAGTTGTAAACATGTTTTTTAGTTACATCCAAAACGAACAAGTTTAAATGACACTAAATAATATTAATATTAGAATAATTAATATAGTACTTACCATCATGTCCATACAATGAAATCAGGATAGAAAAGGTTACAAAGAAAATGTTCGTTTTCATCATGAAATCTGTGTACTTTAACGTACGCCAAAAAGTTCAAGAAATTTGCACAGAACGAGTAAGTATATTCAATGTGGATTAGTGAAAAAACTATTGTGTTATGATGTGATTCATTTCATACAGGCGAGTAACACATTTTTTGTGTTTTTACATTTGTAAAAACACA